GTTTGATTTTCTTTAAGGGTAATAATAGAAAGGTAGGTGCTAAATAAGAGAGAGAGAGAAGAAAAGAGTGGAGGAAAGGAAGATGCGCTCTGTTTGACAGCAGTGGGAAGCTAATAGCATGTGTTTGTAGATTATCTAACATGATCTCAAAATAAGCTGGAATAATTTTTCATTTGGACATAACATTAAATTTTGACTTGTGAAGTTATGGATCGAAATGGTGAGTTAGTGGAGGTTCCATCTACTGTAAGTCAACCTTGTATTCATAGAATCATAGATGAAATATACCTAAGAGAAAATGTAAATGTAATATCTTATTTTTAGTTAAGGAATATAATAAAAAAAAAAGATTGAAATAATTTTTGTTATTCCACCAAATGATTAGCTTTAAAAAAGCTATTCTTTGAAACTGAATTTTTGAGTAACTATTTAGCTTTAGAATTCACATCAGTTTTACTACCAGATTCTTATTTTTATTTTTATTAGGAAAACCAGCCTAAGTAGTATTATCACTGTTTTTCGAGAAACTCGTTTTTTTTCCTTAAAGTCATGAGGTATTAGCCTGAATGATTAAAAATATAACTTCATATTTGATTCCAAATTAGGAATTTTTTAGACTACAATATTGCTTATTCTCTAATTATCTCTGTGATTCTGAAAATATGTTGAACATATACATCTAAATAAAATGTAACTAGTTATTTTTATCTCTTCTTAGTCACAGACTAAATGAACTTACTAAAATGGGCCTTTATGGAAAATGAAGAAACATCTTTCTGTGGATTTTTTTTAATAAAAAATAAATTTCCATGGGACCCAAAACAGCCAAGGTACATGTGGATTTAAATTTAGATGATCTCTCACATATTCTTAAAATTTAACCTTCCTTTCAGGAAAACCAATAGATAGTAATTCTTTTACAAAATAAAGTAACATATCTTCAGTGATTTCATTTTCCTCTGTGTTCTTTAGAAGCAGTTCAGAATATCTTCCATCATAAGTCAGCACCATTTATAAGTTTACTATAAAACTACTCTAAGGGAGTCATGAATAGAGACTATAAATACTTATTTTCAAAGTACTGGGTGAACTGACCTACTTTAAAATACCGCTTTGTTCTACAGATTCTCCGCAACCTATGACATGAATAAAATCCATGAAATGGAGAAGCTGAATTGCATCATTTCAATGTGTGTGTGTGGAGAGTGTGGAAAAGGATGTTTGATATATTTTGTGAATCTGACACTTTCTACCTGTCTGAAAACAGTGAAAATAATTAAGCTTTTTAGGCATAAGAAACATTTTCTCATTTAAAAGTATTCAGTTCTTATTTTTGTGAAGAAGTATTTTAGCTTTTTTTTCAGTCATATTATTTGATAAGCATTTGAAAAGTAATATAACTTTAATAAAATGATAACTTTTTTATAAGAAAATTTTAGGAGCAACCATAGGAATTTTTCATTTCCTTGTAACTATATAAATATGGTATCAGAAGCATTTCATACAAAATATGTGTCTTAGTCCATTTGAGCTGCAACAGCAAAATACCACAGGCTGCATAGCTCATAGATAACAGAAATGCATGGCTGGGGTTCTGGAGGCTGGAAATCTGAGAGCGGTGTAGCAGCACGATCAAGCGAGGACCCTCTTCTGGTTTATCCTTGCATGGGGAAAGGCACTCGGGAGCTCTATGGGGTGTTAGAAGGACACTAGTCCCATTCATGAAGAGTCCAGCCTCATGACCTAATCACCTCCCAAATACTCCATTATCCCTGGGGGTTAGGATTTTAACATATGAATTTTGAGATGACACAGATACTCAGATTAGACCATAACAATATGCCAATATCTTTCTGCATTCTCATAAACATTAGTATTAATCTTGATTTTTCAAGTTAATGATTAGGCTTCTGACAATGTGAGTACAAAAAAGTCAAACTAGAGTCTTCCCATTATTCACAAATATGGTAAAGAAAAATTTGTAGAAGCAGTGCAGCATAAGACATCTTCACTTACACTTAAATACATATCTTTTCTTCAGAGTCATAAAACTTTAACTGAGGAAATGTTACCCCCAAGAATTTTTTTTATATCACCTTGATTGCTTGTAAAATATAGTTGCTGATAGGAAAAACTACCTCTGAAAATGTTGGGGAGCCATTTTTTCATAACCATTTTTCACTTTTGCATAACCCCTTTTAATTATTTATCTTTCTTTTCTCCCTGTTTACTGTCTTTTCACACAGGATCATGAGCTATAATATTAACTAATATTTATTAAGCATGTGTTGAGACTAACATTTATTAAGCATGTGTATATTATGCACTTTTCATTTATTATCTCTTAAATATCTATAGAAGAACACTTTGGACAAAGTAAAACATAATTACCATTTTTCAGATAGGGAAATGGGATAATCTTAAAGGACTTAAGTTACATAACCAAGAAATAGCTGGTAAGTGGTATAAACTGTTTAGATCCAGATCTGTCAGAACTCTTGCTTTAAACCACTCTGTCACTCTGACTCTAAGTTCAGGAAAAGGTCCTACAATAAAGGTATTCTTATGTATTCCAGCATTGTGCTATTCCCACTTGATCATGATATCATGTTCAGGACACAGTAGAGTTACAAGATAATGAAATGACAAAAGGAAAGTATATAAATGGGCCTTCTTTTAAAACATACAGGCCCATTGGGATTAATCATTCTTAATAGGATATATGTGGAAGTTTACAGTGAACAAACTTTTTTTTACACTAATGTACTGCATGAATTTTCTACAGCATTTCTATGAGGTAGAAGAAGGGTTTTATAATTCTCATTTTATATAAGGGTTAAGCACTTTTGTCGTGGAAACAGAGCTTTATGTTGTCACTTTAGATTTTTTAAAATTAACCCCCAAATCCTTCCAATTCCTTTTGTCTGTAGTTAAACTGAAATATACAAAGAGATGTAACCTATTTTATTTAATTATTGACAAGGCCTTGTTATTCCTATGGATTTTATGCATAAATCATGATGTTCCCCTCCATGGGGAATTTAAACTGATCAAAATGATAGTGTTCTTTAGCAAATATATACATAGGCATCAGTTCATATTTTAGATGTATACCTGATGCAATTCTCAGTACACATAATTTTTTAAAAAATTCATCAAGACAAATAATGTTTCATCCCCTGCTTGGAAAATAAGCGAGTCCTAATATCTCCCCTAAAATATTTGTTAGCTTTTGGTTCTGCGACTTTACAACATGTGATATTATGTGAGCATAATATCTTCAGTATTTATTTGGTCTGGCAAGATTACTAATTTCACCTATTTGTAGAAAACGAACTATTACAGGGACATATGACTAGAAAGATCACTTCAAATAAATGTAAGATTGTCATTAACAGACTTTTCAAGCCATGTATCTAAATATGAATGAACTAAATTGTTTTCATTTTTGTTACAAAGTGTTTATAAACTGAAACTATGGAACAAAGATTGATACTGGTGGCTTATATTACTCACTCAAGGGCTTATGTAGTTTGCTTCCACAGAGAGGATTTTTAGTATAGTATCAAGTAGGTGAGATTAGAATACAGTGTTTATACAGGTATCCATTGTTGCCAAATCATGGTATTAAATGCTAATAATTCTAACTTAAATTATACAGTTAAAAAAGTTATCTAAAATTTTTAAATGGAAATTTTCTTTTCATGAAGCTATGAAGGTTAAAAAATTATTTTTGTTATTTTCTGATTCAGTACTGTTTTGAAACAAATATGGATGAATATTTATATTTCTCATTGAATTTAAGTGTGACATAATTTCATAGCTTGCCACTGGGAATTGTATGTAAGGCCTTGAACTGAGCTTCCATAATTTATATTCACTTTCAAAGGATTTTATTAGATCTGCCTATTGACCTTACTTAAGTTGATAATTTAAATTCGATTACTTTGAAAACCAGCAACATGCGCATGTTATAGCTGAAGCTCAAACTTTCCTCCATAGGAGGGAAACCCAGTTAGCAGATTCGTGAATGCTGCTTTAACATGCAGTGAAAATCAGGAAGCTGTTGGTTTGCATGTGCACGCTTTTAGGAAGTAGGGTTTTCTGCTTGGATCAATATTGCATTTCATATCACTTCCTGTTATGAGAAGCAACAATTTTGAAACAGGAAGCTTTTCTTTATTAAGGGCCTATAATCAAAGGTAAGCTTCTTACTTTAAAATTGGATTTAGAGGCAAAAGAGTAAATCAGAATAGACTTATGAGTCCATTGTTTTTTCCTCCTATGGAGAAGAGCCTACTTTATTTGTGATTCTAGGATACATTGTGAAATATTAATTTAACAACACATTATCACTTAAAATATGGAGAACAGTTCCTGAAATGTTTTAATATTTTAATCAAAAACATTTTATATGGTGAATAATTAATGCATGAATTAAACAAAAAGTGCCTGTTGTTTTCTTCTGGGTCATGAGGATAAAAAAATTCACATTTTATAAAGTTCATTCCAAAGCCATCTTTAGAAAGAGCAGTAATTTCAATACCTTTACACACATGACTGATTTCAATATAAACCAATGTTCATAACCTCTATTTAAATTTCATGTGAAACCCTTGTGGTAGATTTAGAAAAATCCATTACATAGACTTTATTTGAATAAAGTTATAAAATATCCAGGTTTTTTTGTTTGTGGCTTCAAACCACTCCTTGCTAGCAGTCTCAGGATAACTTTGATGCATTAAACTAAATCCTTTCATAAAAACATATTGGAGAATGCGAAGATATTTTATCTGGCTTATATATCAGTTCAGAAAAACGTATTTTCTAATAATATTTTTAGTAACAGAAAATTAGTATCAATGATTTGAATTTTGCTCATACTGTGAAAACGCTCCTGAGATATATAAGTATCCCAGGATACTAGCAAAAACTATTAGCATAACTCCAGGCTACATTTATTTCTAAAATCTGATTTTCGATGTCTATTTCCTTTACAGTCTCAAATATCTATTAGTGTAGAAGAGTGGGAAGACACCAAGGACCCCAAAGAGCAAGGTCATCACCGAAGCAACCACCGCAACTCCATGTGCAGCGACCAGTCCGACCACCCCCTGCTGCGGAGGAAGAGCATGCAGTGGGCCCGGAGACTGAGCAGAAAAGGTCCCAAACACTCTGGTAAAACCGCTGAGAAAATGACCCAGCAGCGACTGAACCTCTACAGGAGGTCAGAAAGACAGGAGCTTGCTGAACTTGTGAACAATAGAATGAAACACCTGGGTCTTTCTACAGTGGGATATGGTATGCTCTTTAAAAATATTGCACGATATGGACTTGTGATTTCTTGCCTTTAGCCATTGCATAGTTGTTTCTAACTTAGTAAGTCAAAAGTCACATTTTTGCTTCGCAGGTCGGTTTGAAGGAACTAGCGACACATATCTAATATCCTACAGAAAATTATGAAGTGCTAAAAATTTTAAATATTTGCTTATTTCTCTAGGCACTGTGCTGAACCTATTACTTGAATTATCTTAATTTTAATTTTCACAAAGCTCTTATATTTTAAATATAAATTAACTTGCTAATAGTATCGCTGAGATTTATATCCAGTCTGGCTCCAGTCTCTTTTAAATCCTTCCATAAACCTCATCTTATTCTAAGGCCTGGAATGAAATGAATTTGAGGCATTAATAAGTAACTAAATGTGTCAAGCGTCAGATGAACCAAAATGTTCCTATAAAATTTGTTTAGTTTCTTGTGGTGCAGAAACAAAACGTCTTCAGAAGCTCTAATTTGAAGCTCAATTAGTGCTTGATTTCATACAGTGTAGATCCCTCTTGATACTTGTTAGGGTTCTATGTTGATCTATAGTTGCAGTATAGACAACATAGCACAGCTTAAATAAAAAATGCAAAGATAATTTTAAAATACATCATTTATTACTGTATGAATGTTATTTAAAAAAGAAATTTAATCAACTTAAAGGAAAACAGAATGATAAGATATTTTGTTTTGTTATATACATGTATATAAAGCAGGTAAACTAGAAGCTGAAATCTCAGAATCATTCAGGTTATGGATAAAATTAATTAATTTGATATTTGCTCCATCTAATCTTTATTATTAATATCTCAGCTTGAAACAATAGGAAGAAATTTTAATATTGAATGCAGAGTTACAGAGAAGCTGTGTTCTTCGAACTAGAAAAGGAAACATATTTATTGAGTACCTACTCTATTCCAGGAACTATGCTAGGTGTTTTATGCATATTTTCTCATTATTCCTTATAACTCAAATTGCATAGGTGTCCCATTTACCTGTCAAGAATTTGAAGCTCTGAGGTTAAAGACCTTGTTCAAAGATGTACAGTTAAAATGAGTCAGAATTTCATATGTAATTGAAATTAATAATTATATTTCACATATGTAGTACAGACTCATCCATGACCAATAATTTTAATATAACCACACAGATCCTATTAGGAATCAAATTAAAAGAAAAAAATGATCTTCATTTAAAAATATTAATAGCTTCTTGCCTATTTAATGACATTGATTATGATATTTTTTAAAGAACTTCCGTCCTATATTTTTATGTACTTTTGTTAGTTATCACTCAGTTACTTTTTCTTTTTTGAAAAGTTCTAGTAAATGTTCATCCAAGTTCCAGCTATATTTCATAAACATTATAACCCCAGGCTGGTCCTGTAAGAGGTGGCAGATAACAGTTTGATTCTAAGAGACACAAAAATGCATGAACTGACTGCATGGAAAAATCACCAGGGAACATATTATGTTTTTGCTAATGAAACTTCTACCAGGTACCTTGCATTCAGTTACTTTCTATGGTTTGTTTTTTATGTGTAAACATGTTGGTTTCTCACACTAACTCTTACAGAAAGGAAGAACGGATATTGTCCACCTTTCACTTTCTCTTTTCTTCCATATTTTTTCCTCTGTCCATCTCTCTATCCTAGATCTATTAACCCATTCTAAAGCCATGTATTGATTACCTCTAATAACGTAAAAGATTATGAAAACAGGATTCAGAATCTAACACATCATGGGCTTCTGGACTTCCCCACGTATTCCTAATTTAAGATAATTCATCCATCAAATAGGTATTATTGGGCTGCCCTCTCAGTACCAGGAACTGTTCTAGGTACTGGGAATAAAACAATGACCTGTTCAGGCAAGACTTCTGCATTTGTGGAACTTATAATCTAGGGCCAGCCAGTAAATTTATTGAATTGTTTACCCTGTGAAGTCAATTTATCACTATGAAATGGAAATAATATGTATATGGTACATACCTTTTTGTGTGGACAAAAGGGATAATGAAGATTAATGTGTTTAACCCAGGAGTGGCATTCATTTAGCACCACAGATCTACCACATATCTTTTTAGGTACTGTACATCTGTGCCTTATACATAAAAAGTAGGAGGGTTTTTTTTTTGTCCATCTGAAAAAAAACAAGAACAAATTTTGCACCCTTGGAGGCAGTCCTGTCTCCACTGAGGATGCACACTTTAAAACAATTATTATTTTGCATGTTTTCCTTCCTCCCTTAAAGGAAAGGGAGTGCCTTGCTCATCTTTTCATCTTTGTATTCTCAAAAATCACACATTTCCTGACATATAGGAGCCCAGGTCACATTGAATGTGTGAGCAGATGGAGTGCTTACAGATGAGAAAACAGTCTCAAATATAAATGATTTACTTGAGTCACCTAGCTTAATATACTTGAGTTAGTACTTGACTCTATATCTTTTTATGTTTCCACAACACCACATGCTCTTCCTACATGATTGTCAATATTTTATAGTGTTTTATAGGTGAAAAATGTTAAGTGCTTTATACCCAATGCATGATGATTGAATTAACCACAAATTCTAATCTGACTTTATTCTAATCTGACTTTTTCTGAGTGGCTCTGGCTTGCTCCAAAAGGATAAACAGATTACTTTTGATTTACTGGATATAAAACATAAGGGAGACTAAAAGGGAAAAGTTAAAAGATGACTTTTGAAGGCTTTAGTTTGAACAACTAAATGTATGGTGGTAACATTCACTGAGCTTAAAATGAATACATTGGGTTGAAGATAATAAATTTTGTTTGAGTTCCTAGAAGACTTCTAATGGGTGATGTTACATAAGAGGCTGTATTTCTGCTGTTTGGTGCTTAAGAAATAGAAATGAGATATTTATATAGACTTGAGAGTCATGAGAATATAGGTTTTAATTACCACAATAGGGGTAGATGAAATAACCCCAGATGAAAGACTAGAAGAAAACTCTAGAAAATACTCACATTTCTGGAATGTTTAGGGAAGAAGTATTCTTTTAAGAACAAAAGATTGAAGTGTCTAGAACTGAATTACCAAAGGATGTGCCGTACAATGATATGCTATCAATTGGTGACATGTTTTATCCTGACTCTTCAAAAACCATAGGATAAGTTTTTTAACATTTCCTGATATAAGGCCTGTTTCTATAGGTTAGTTTGAATTAATCAGTATGTTTATGCATGAACATTTGCTGCAGAAATATGATTTTTTCTGCTGTTTCACACCCTGCTGAGGATATTACATAACACACATTATATGCCTGATATTGTTTTCTAGATCTAAAAAAAATTAATTTTTGGAACACATCTCTACACAAGGTTCGGGAGATGGAATTTGAGGACCTGCATGTTTTAGGAACTAAAGTGTCAATCTACAAATTCTCTTTGCTTTCCATTTAAATTTTTAAGGGAATTTCTTCCATATACTTTTAAAAACATTCACCTAAAAGTTCATGGCATTATACACTAACTAGCTGTGCATTCTTGGGCAAGTTACTATCTCTCTGAACTTCATGTACTTCAACCATAAAATAAGGATAATGAAGTCTCCCCAAAGGGGTGTGCTGTGAAATAATAGAACATATCTGGAAAAAGATATTTCAATCTATAAACTATACCTCAAATGTGAATAATTATAGTTTTTTTATTAATAATGCATTATTGTTCAATAATCTATTCAGAATGGCTTTCACATTCACTAAAAAGAAAAAGAAAAGAAGAAATCCTTTTAAATGACAAGGAGGTAACTACAACTACCTTTCATTACCTCCTCTGGAAAGTTAGTTTCTTTGTAAAGTAAATTTACAATTTGCTTAAAATAAAGGATAAATTAACCAAGAACTGTTTTTACAACTAACATGCTGACTTAACTCTCAGTCATTCTCTTTCTTACGGGAAGGAAATAAGCACAATGAATGAGAAAGGATTGTTATTCCCACCCAAACCACCCAAACCTATGATAAATGTGGTAGTAGTGGAAGTGACAGTAACACCACCAACTTTTATTTTCAGATTTTAATAAACTATTGATAATTTTCATATAAATTTTTAATAAAAATTCCAAGTCCCTTGTTAACAAAAAATCAAGTTCCTTTTCCTTGTATAATATTAAACACAATTTTATCCTAAAACAAAATACCAAAGAAGGAAAAGGCACCATAGCTAGGTATTTCTTCTAGAATGTTGTATAACATTTAGTACAATACTAATGTGCAACATTAGTATTGTAAATAAAATAGAATGTGTATAAATTTTAAAAACTCAATTAATCCAAATATGGCACAGAAGAATAATCTAATATCTGAGATCACTGTAATGACTTCATCAGCAATTTATTATTTCAAAAGAAATTGACACTGTATTTTTATTGTATTTTGAGGTATGCTACATACCTTTTCTAAATATAATAATATTGATACATACAATCAATATTCTGCCAGGACAGATTCCCAGAAAATGGATGATTTTATGTTATTCTGTATTTTCAGAAATGATGCATGCTCCTGATAAAGCAATCAAAACAGGATACATACATGGTTTGTTACATCTTCTTCTCTACATAGAATGAGAACAGAAGAAAACAAACTCATGGTTTTTTAAATAAATAAAGTAATGAAGCTTTCAAAGGGGGTATTGCTGATTTATAGCAAATAAAAATATTTGGGCAATGAATTTTCCATATCTCCCTAAATTTAAGCTCTAAAGTATTTTTTAATGGAGCTCTATTGCATCCTCCTTAGAGTATTAATTTTTTATCATATCAATATTTTACATAATTTAATACCTTCATTAATTCAATTGTACTTAAATATACATATATTTCACCTATAATTAGAAATTCAAATATTGTGTTTTGGCATATGTGTAAGAAAAATGTGGCCAATTTGAATAAAATAAAATACTTTTTTCATTGAGAAAAAGATTAATTGCTTGAGTGAAATTTATATTTTCAACA